AAATATATAAACGTTTTGCAATCGAGAGCTTCTATAATGTGGATAATATCTCTTCCCACAATTGCACATTAGGGTATGTATTTTAAGCTTCACTGTGCTAATCAGATGCATAGCTTCACGTAGATAACCCTGTATCAAAACCCCGATGTTTCATTAATTGACTCCTTTGGCAGTCCCTTTTCTTTATCGATTTTGATGTAGGCCTTTAGATCTATAGTGTTGCGGTTGCAGAAAGAATACGTCAAAATCATCACACGATGTTTCAGGAACGTGAGCCAATCGAAAACCCTAGAAGTACACAATAAGGTGAAAAAAAAATTTAAAAAATAGAAGATCAAAAGATCTGGGTCCACTAATCTTGGGTTTTGTTCTCGCTGCACCGTGCGGGTTATTATTACGAGAACCTGCGATAACCGACTTCTGGTGACACCAACGAGTGAGGCAAGATTAGGGGAAAGCCATCGTGTCGTGGGAAAAACCTAACACAGATCCGATACAAACTAGTGTGTGAACATCTGCTGCTGGGACGACTGGATCGAAATAACGGCCTAGGATAGCTTGCACTCTATGAAAACGCAGAGGGCAAAACAGGAAGGGGTAAACCTAGACAACGTACGTAGTGAGCGTAAACAAAATGGGTAGATGGGAAAGACCGTATCTGTGAATTTTTTAAAGCATTTTTTATTTAATTCTTTGCCGTCAGAGAAAAAAAAAGAAGATTTTTGAACAATGACAGTAATATAATAATATATAATACTAATCATGTCTGTTTTATATCGGCATATTATAATGATGATGAAACATTGCAACTTCAAAGGATCAGACACATGCCTTTAAAATGACTCCTACTTTTCTCATTTGCAAACTGATTGAGAGTAAGGGTTGCTTAGTGCACTATTCATTGTGTAGCATATTATCATCATGATAATATGCCCGATATAAAACAGACATAAAGAGTATTAAAATATTATTTACTATCATGGTTCAAAAATCCTTTTTGCTGAACGATAAAAATAAAAATAATTAAATAACAATGCTGAGTTAGATATAAGCTTAAAAGATATATGCAAACAGTTAGAGCACTTCATTCATTCACAATGACAATGAATGAAGTGCACTAAATGTTCGCAGATATCTTTTAAGCTCTTGTCTTATCAGATGGCTGTTTTGAGAGCATCATTTATAGAAAAATAAACAAGAATAAACAAAAATATTGTCTAGGATTATTACAAAGAGTGAAATGTATTCATATTTATCTTTCTTTTGCTTTCTTTTATCCATTCGTCCACTGACATAACATATCGTTGTCTTTCTGAAATGTTGTTTACTTACGGTTTCGTCCACTGATTTTAAATAATTTAAAAGGCGATCGGTGTAAGTTAAACAACCCCATTAACAGGTTTAAAACAAGCAAGAGGAGAAACTTTACACTTAAGCCCCGTTTCCTGTTTTAAGATGAAAAGTAAGTCGAGAGAATTAAAAACATTCTAAATAAAACAAGATCAAGAGCGTCCCTTCAGGGATTCGAACCCAGTTCAACCTCAGGTGAGTCCAGCTCGTTATCCACGGAGCTAGCGGCGCACCCACTATCCACGGGTGAGCTACAAGCTCCCACTATCCACGGATCAGCTACAAGCTCCCACTATCCACGGATCAGCTACAAGCTCCCACTATCCACGGATCAGCTACAAGCTCCCACTATCCACGGGTGAGCTACAAGCTCCCACTATCCAGGGA